CGTCTCTGCAGCGACCAGAGATGAGGATGACGCACACGAGTTGTTCGGGACCCGTCGACGGCTGAATTTCGATGCGAGTGGAATGTCCGTTGTCCACCTCAGACATGGCTTAGTATTCCAACAGTACAGTCGGAGTACATGCACCCGCAACAGTACAAAATACACGTTTGATGTTCAAAGGAGTCACCATACATTGGTGGCTTGCAGATGCTAGTACATAATCTCTGCTATAATGGTATTGAGGACATCAGAAATACCGCTCTCATCCCCTCGGCACAATCGTGTTGAGCCAAACCCCGAACAGATGTTTCTTACGAGCGGGCCGGCACGGCATATCGAGTGGGGGGGGGTTGCAAGAAATGCAAACTTGTTGACCGGGGGGGCTCGAAAATAGGCGTCTGAGACAAGGGACGAAGTGACCACAGAGGGAAAGGGGACGATGGAATCATCGGCAATTGCCACGCTATCGGGGTATCTCTCTTCGACGGTGAGGTGTGGCGTTTTCTGGAGCAAGAAATTGAGTCAACGAGATTCTTCGGCTTGTTTCGAGCAGGATCGTTTGAGTATCCGGAGATCTCAATATGAACCCGATCACCTCTTGGCTTGGACTTCATCTATTTTGGATTTACTCTCCAAGTTTCGCTGCCAAGCGCACAACTCGACTTCGAGGCTCTTTGGGCGTTCTGCGCGGAACAGGATGTTGACAGAGACGTGAACACCGCCGTGGAGACAAAACTCCTGGACATACCGCATGTTCGCAAAAAATGCCACGCGTCACCTTGGACTGAGAAGCCTTTGCCAAATGAAATCACCCCACACCGTGCTGCGGCGAATCTGTCATGGTTCAGCACCAATAGGTTCAAACGTCTCAGCCAACAACACACATATCCGGCAAACTCTCACCCGTGGAGGAAACGATTGCCATCTTCGCGCTGTCCTTGCTCGAGACGGCAGAAAAAACCGTATTTTCCATTTCCATCCCCGCGACAATACATAGGTTGACCTTCCTGTTGATCCGACCACACGGAACACGAATGAACAAACTGCTGATTATGCCTACATCCCGGTGTGTCGCCCCGTTCAAGGCACACGAAATATCAAGAAATAAATGAGGGCGATTATTGTCCGCCTTCCTTGACGAAATTACCAACCGTATGACATACTGTTCTTGCGACACTCCAAGAGGCCGATGATACAACGCCACCTGGCAGGACGCCGCCGCGATTTGCCTTCCCACTACAATAGAGTGTGAATTGTGTGAAACTTTGCCCCATGTTTGCGGTGTCCGGTGGCGTGTACTTCGTCAACTCGCACGATGTTCCACTTGTTTGTTCCCTCTTCGTTCGAAGCTTTCGGCTGAACCACCGACGCTTCGACGTGCTTCAGAATCCAGAGGAGGAGCATCCCATCGCTCTGGATGTCTGGCTTACGTCCCTTATGTAGCCCCAGTAGTATCGTGACCAGTACGGAATATCTCGCCCTCGGTTGTATTTTCATAGAGTATCCACATGGGAAGAGCGTCCTGGTCCAGGTTGTGTACAGCATTAATTTCCCGTCAAAATCCATTCATGCGGTTATACAGTACAATAGGTTGGCGGCCTTGGGAGTGGACATCTGGCATGTTCCGCCTCATGTATGTGGAGAGTTTGACAAGAGAGAAGGGGAGAGGAGAGCCCGAAACTGCGTAGGAGACGGGGGGAGCACTCGAGCACTCGAGCACTCGAGACGCGAGACACAGAAAAGCGGGCCAATTGCACACGGTTCGGAGGAATACCTACCGGGCCTTGGCGGGACCGTGGCCTTACTCTCGTATGCATACAACGTAGACCCCTACACAGCAAAATCAATCGCGATGGGCATGTGTAATGGATTCTCTCATCTCTCTTCCTTCCTACAGAGTCTTGATTAATGAGCCAGACGCACCTGAAAATGTACCGCCTCTGGCGGCCACCAGCAACCTTCCCGCACACAGTCACATTGTTCTGTCCGGGACTGGCTTCGCAAGGCCTTCTATGCGCACGATCATCTGTTCTATCACTCGTTCTACCCCGGACAAAGCACCAGGTGACGGTAGTAGTACTAAGCTGTGGTTTAAGTATTTCGTATGGTGTTAGCGCGAATCGAATCCAGGTGTTCGTATGCACGCGGCATTGGACGCCATTGATTCTCTCAGTCGAAACTGGCCCCCATCCGATAGGAAAGCGGCAGTGGAAATGACGGGCGTACAGCAGCATAACTATGTAGAGGGGGTGCCTGTTGTTTATGGCTGGAACGTCCATTATCCAAACTACAAGCTCAATGGTGAGCGCTCGAAAATGCTGCTGCCGGCACATGTATCTAGACCATGTTCGTTCGTGATTACTTCCTTTCTCGGTCAAATTGTGAGCTGTTGAATAAAGCGATTTCCTCTCGTTGAGAAAGTTGTAGCAGGCTGTCGGCGTCAAAGTCTTCAGAAGATGATGTTGTGAGTCCGCAAACGAAGAGAGAGCAGCTATGAATATATAACATTTTTGCTGGTTCGGTGTGATGACCAGTATTCTGACCTTGTTCACACGTAAGACGACTTTGTCGTGTACTCCAAAATCCTGGCGAGAAGTTCTCCAGGGCAATCGGAGCCTTGAAGTTGACAATTTTAGAAGAGCGTAATGTGTAGATTCGTTCGAAAGAACACCGCCGAGATCTTCAACATGTGAAACTCTGGGCCCGTGCCTGATTCAGGTTGGCGTTTCCAGTAGAAGGTCGTCCTGGGGAGACCGAGCCCTAGTCCCTCGACGCTCTCTCACGCAAAGTCTCCGAGATCATGCTACATGTTTTCTGTCCACGACGCCGGCTATTTCGCATCAACGGAGTAAGAACGGATATGCCCCTGAAAAATAAGCAGCCAACGAGAGCGACGTCGGCGACGGTGGTGTCATCACTAGCAGCAACGGTGGGCACGTCGGATGGTCAATTTGGTCAGCACTCTTCTGCTAGATTTTCGACTCTAGCATGAACCTGCCGAGTTCTGGTTCTGTCTCACTCTACAGTACAGCCTAGAATGTCCGAAACCGGAGACACACTTCCCTGCAGCCCTTCCCGTGGTTCACGGGTTCTGGTATGTCTAAAGATTCCGTCTACATTTTCGTGAAACACAGACAGAAACTCGGGATCAATTATACCCCGCTGCGGCAAGATTTTGAACCCGTACCTGCCATTCCTGCGTCATATGCTGTCGACGGTATTGCTTGACAACGTGTTTAGTGGTCATCAGTCGTGGGGATTTGGGCCATCACCATTGATATCTAGCCAGTCGCCTTGGAATGTCGGAAACAAAATGAAGTCCCACTCGCTAGGCCCTGGAATTCAACTCTCGGTGAGTTGGGTATTTTCCGATATTCTTACGATGCCCAGGAGATGAACGCCGTTTTCATGCATTCTTTGGCGGGGGAGGCAATTGTTTCCGAGGGGGAGATGGATTCATGTCCCCCACCTCTCCTAGAACTAACTCCCACGCTGTACGTCAATGCCTAACACCTCAACGAATTCGTGGTCAGCTGCATCAATAGCTTTTCCCCAACGCGGAGGTGCGCAACGCTGTTAGACCCCCACCCGTCTAAATCATCACCCCTAGACCTTGGTGGTTCTCTCCGGTCCCAACACCAACTTTCACGCCTTCCACCTCCAGCTGATGAATGGGGGTGTGCCATGCTTTCCCCGATCACCAGCTTTCCAGATATCGTCCTGTGAGCTTCCCATAGCCGCTATCCTCGTTGTCCTCCCGTACTAACTCCAAGCACAGGGCGAATCAGAATTTCAATATTCGCACCAACCCCCGGCCCTTTTATCCCCGATCTGTTCATACTCCCCTGTCTCAACAGTGAAACGTATTCTGCAGGTTTCATCCCGCACTTGTCGAAGCTACTTGGCCTTGGCCGCGACTATGTCTCCCGCCCGGGTGAAAACACACCGCTTGAATTTCTCAACCCTGATGGAATTGTGTCATGGCTTTCTTATCCCCTCCGTTTACTCTGTTCCCAATTGAAACACTCGATCGAGGTTTCTACAAAGGTGGTTCAGGACAAACGACCAAACTCGCCTCTCCACCCAACATCCACCGGTCCTCGTAGTCGTGACTGCCTCAACCTCACCCCAAACAGCTTCTTCAACGCCGCGTACGAGAATAATTTTACAACACTGAGGCCCAAATTCAACCTAACGTCACGCCCGGTTTTGACACGGACCGCCCCCACGCCTAGCCTTTCGTTTGCCGACGCTTGCCACGTATTTGTATTTTTGGGTCACTTCGTCGACACGCCTGCCCAATATTACGCACATCCCACTTCCCTCAAACTCCCACCTTCGGCCCCAACATCGTCACGGGCTGCATATCCCCACCGTCCGATCCTGATATCGTTGTACCCCTGTAGTATCAGTCGACCCAGTGGAGACTGTTGGGATCTCCGTCCCAGCGCTCTAATGCTGAAACAAACTGCTGGTGCTGCCACCCTTGCTGTTGTTGTTTCTGCATGGAACCTCAACCGCTGTTTCGATGCCAAGCATCAGTGTGGGTTGCTGAAACGTTTCTGGAAGCATGGTGGAAAAACAACACCGAGGGTTTGTTGTGTTTTGGCCTCTCCGTGCTCACATGTAGGAATCGAACTTATTCCCTTTTTCTGCAGGTCTACAGCCTACTGTGCAAGCAAAGCGTGGTTGTCCTCTTCCGTCGGTAATTGATCTAATGTCTCAATAATCATGTTTTTCGATCATGCCGCCCTTTCGACACGGCTATCTCGGACTGTCCAACAGCAGCACCCGTCATGGTCCACCGCCTTGCACGTTCCGCTACGAGATTCTCACAGGATTTCGAGGAGGAGACGTTTCGGATTGTTCCGCCTGGCCTGTGATCCAGTGCGCCAACATCGATGACTCGCCACCATCCCAATGAACATGAGCGCTTTTCGACGGCAACAAAGGCACACGCTCAGGAACTGGAAGAGCTTCTTGACCACCGGACGAAAGAGATGAAGAAAGAGTGGGACAAGCTGGATTCCGGTTGGGAAGCCCTCGAGTCCAAAATGAACGAGACCGGAATGTCCATGGTGTCATCTATCCAGCCAAGCATCGTGAGATTGAACGTTGGTGGGCTGGACGTGAACATTGCTCGGTCTGTACTCAGGAAGGCAGGTGAATCATCGTCATCAACTTGGACGCTGGGAGATCTGTTCGAAGGGTGTGTGTGGGACAAGCGTCTTCCGCGTTGTGAAGATGGCCGTATTGTGCTGGATGAGTCTCCTGTTTGCGTTGAGGAACTTCTCTGTGATGCATCATCAAAGAGGCCCGGAAACAGCAACTTTCCCGACGACGAGAAGCCGTATATTGGTGGTGTAGCCAGTGCTCTTGGGCTGGATCTCGGTATGACAGTCCCTGGAGGAAGCACTACACTGCCGCACGATGAAGCCGAGCGACTTACAGCCACTATTTTGGGGTGGTGCCCCGGTAGGCCAGAGGGGCTGGAGCTGCTCTACCGTGCATCCCGGGATGGCTGGTCTGGAGATGCGCTTCACGCCCGGTGCGGCGATGACAGCCCCTCTACGATCTCCTTGTTTCGTGTGAAGACTCAAGACGCTAACACCAGCGACAGCATTGTCGGGGGGTTCTCCAGCGTTCCATGGACCGCATTGCCGCCAGAGAATCGCGGTTTGGACTCGTTCCTTTTCATCCTCAAGGACGGCATCGAAGAATCACACAACTTTCAACCCGCTATATGGGGTCTAAGAATACGAAATCCTAAACCTAGTGGAGCGTATGACATGGAAAAGTTTGGCCTGATATTTGGTCGTGGCCGCATTTTTGATTTGTCTGTCGTCTGGACCAACCAGACCCTTGTCGCCGGCAACCAGGTATACGCCGTCCCGCCTGGATTTCAGTTTATCCGCTTAGGCGGGAGGGCGATCGCCGATGTCGAGGTGTTTCGGGTGCGCCAAACCATGGGGACGTTACCTACTACCCCGCCGACCGTCACCGGTCTCATCGACTGTGCAGCGTATTTTGAAGCTAGTGCTATGTCGGCAGAGGAGCACGAGAACGATGTGTACAGGTTCGGTACGTCCATCGCGGGGTCGCTGAAAGACGAACGGGCAGCACTGCACACGGCTCAACGTGAGCTTGTCCAAGCGAATACCATGGCGGCAGCTTCCCTCAAAGCCTTGGCAGCGGTGTACGGCCCTCACACGGCTGCCGGTGTCAAAGATCCCATCGTCGAACTCAGTGTTCGTGGGTCTAGAACGACCGAGAGGATGACAACTCTGCTTTCAACTCTCCAAGCATGCCCTGAATCGGCCCTGGCTGCTAGATTCGACGAGGCCAAATGGCCCGTCACCGAGAAAGACAAAGACGCGCACGGGCGCCGCGTGATGAAAGACTGCAGTCCTTCGGTATTCTCAAAGGTTCTTGATGTGTTGAGGATGAAGAAGCGTGAGGCCTGGGCTGGTGACGATGGCAAGATGGGGGCGGCGGTCCTCGTTGCCATCAAGGACGCTGATCGCGCGCCCTTCGAGGAGTTCGTCAATATGTACTTTCCGGGCTGCGAGAGCTTTATCATGGACAGCGTGAAGTTCTTGGATGGGCCAAACGGGCCCTGACCAGCGAATACGGAACCGCCCGTTCAGCAGGTGAGCGTTGTCCTACCGAGTTTGTAGATAAACAGTTGCACGCCGTACATGTATTGGGGCGTTTACATGTGTCATTTACTCCACCGTTGGAAGTCCACCAAATACAGATGCACCAAGCGCCTCCCTTGCCCCCACTGGGCTACCCGCATGTTTCCTACTATTCGATTGCTCACCTCTCCAAGGTTTCCCCGCCCCAACCTGCCGGCCATTCGTCTCTCTGTCGAACCAACGCCGCAGGTATATAACGAGTTCTTTCCTGCCCGGGATACTGAAGACATTTTTTACGTCAATGCTATAACAAATTCTGTAGGGGTAGTCGTGTGCCTTGGGAATGTCTCTTTTGTGATTTAGCGTGAGGTACCATAGAATTGCTTGCGCAATCATCGAAATATTTGACCGAAATTCGTAGTATATGACCGAAATGCAATGTAATTCTTACGCGGTACCGTTCTCGCTAACGGGGCATTGTGCACCAGTATTCTTTGTTGTGTGATAGGGAATGGAAGGATGGAGAGGAAGGCTGCAAATAGGGAGGAGGGGGATATTGTGATAGATGTTTGGAAGACGATCGATGCGTTTCGCCGAACGCTCAACGAGAAACGAGGGTCTGGTCCGCACGTTAGGCCCTTCCCTCGTAGGTGGTGTTTTTCGATATTTTCATACGCTTAACTTTTCTTCCACTTTATTTTCAGCCTAAAAACCAAAATCGAACAAGAAAATACGAGGCACTCGCCTGCGGGGGAAGGGCTTTCCGGACGTACACGCTTCGCTCAAATGAACGTAAGTTCGGTTTGTCATGAAATCTCTGTGGGTATTCGTTACACCAACCAACCAAGTATCCAGCAGTTTCGCATACGTCCTTTTTCGGGAGTTCGACCTCCCACATACTTCAAGTTATCGTAGGCTCTCTTTGAAGACATCCCTTGTCACACCTGTTCGAGCAGGGCTGCCCTGACCAACGAAAATAAAAGAATTCCCGGCTTCACGTGAGTGCAGCCCCGCCACCGAGGCCACCGACGCCGCCGTCGCCTCCGCCGCTGTGGGACCCGTTGGGTCTGGTGCTGCCGGCTCTCGTCTTGTGCGGCGATGTCACCTGCTGCTGCTGCTGCTGCTGCGGCTGCGGCTGCCGTGCTGTACTCCATGAGTGGCCCCGATGCGTATGGGTCCCTCCCAGCTGCGTAGGCCGCGTGGTCAACGCCGAGGCTCCCAACAGCGCCTACAGAATCATTTGGATTGACACCTCTCCACCTCCACCACTGCCACGAATACCACCACCTACGCGTCGTTTCTTCATGCATGTATGGGGGCCTGGGTCAACTCCCAGCACCCCATGAAGATCCAAGATGCAAAACAGAGTAAGAAGAAAATTCCCCGGAATAATGAGCAGTCAATCATGGCGACGTCGGCGGCGGTGGTGCCATCGCTAGCAGCAACGATGGGTACGTCGGATCGTCAATTGGTCAGCATTCTTCTGCTAGATTTTCGACGCGGGCATGAACGAGCCGAGTACTGGTTCTGTCTCTCTCTACAGCCTAGATTATCCCAAAATCGGAAACGTACTTTCTGCAGCCCTTCCCGTTGATTACGGTTGCTGATACGTACGAAGATTCCGTCTTCATTGTCGTGAAACACAGACAGAAACTCGATAAGATTAGACCCCTGCTGCGGCCAAGATATCGAACCCGTACCTGCCGTTCCTTCGCCATGCTTTCGATGGTATTGCTTGACAGCGTGTTTAGCCGCCACCAGTCGTGTCGTGGGGATTTGTGAAAATTCTGCGAAAATGGGTGACACGTGTCACCGAACACGGCCATCGCCATTGATGGCCAGCCAGTCGCCTCGGTTCCTTGGAAACAAAATGCACTTGTAGTCGCTAGGCCCTGGAATTCAACTCTCGGCGAGCTGGGTATTTTCCGATATTCTTACGATGCCCAGGAGATGAACGCCGTTTTCATGCATTCTTTGGCGGGGGCGCAATTGTTTCTGAGGGGGAGATGGATTCATGTGCCCCCACCTCTCCTAGAACTAACTCCCACGCTCTACGTCAATACCTAACACCCCAACGAATTCGTGGTCAGCTGCATCAATAGCTTTTCCCCAACGCGGAGGTGCGCAATGCTGTGTGACCCCCACCCGCTACCCAGACATCACCCCTAGACCTTGGTGGTTCTCTCCGGTCCCAACACCAACTTTCACTCGTTCCACCTCCAGCTGATGAATGGAGGTGTGCCATGCTTTCCCCGATCACCAGCTTTCCAGATGAAGTCCTGTGAGCTTCCCATCGCCGCCATCCTAGTTGTCCTCCCGTACTAACTCCAAGCACAGGGCGAATCAGAACATCAGTATTCGCACCGACCCCCGGCCCTTCTATCCCCGATCTGTTCATACTGCCCCTGTCTCAACAGTGAAACGTATTCTGCAGGTTTCATCCCGCACTTGTCGAAGCTACTTGGCCTTGGCCATAACTATGCCCCCCGCCCGGGTGAAAAAAACACCGCTTGCATTTCTCAACCATCAAAGAAGCCTGATGGAATTGTGTCATGGCCTTCTTATACCCTCCGTCTACTCTGTTCCCAATTGAAACACTCGATCGAGGTTTCTACAAAGAAAAGGGGTTCAGGACAAACGACCAAACTCGCCTCTCCACCCAACATCCACCGGTCCTCGTAGTCGTGACTGCCTCAACCTCACCCCAAACAGCTTCTTCAACGCCGCGTACGAGAACATATTGACAACACGGAGGCCGAAATTCAACTTAACGTCACCCCCGGTTTTGACGTGGACTGCCACTACGCCTAGCCTTTCGTTTGCCGACGCTTGCCACGTATTTATTTTCTTTGGTCACTTCATCGACACATCAAATTCCCTGCCAGTCCCCCGTTTACTGCTTGAGTTATGCATACGAGTCCGCCACTGGGTCGAACCGTGATCCATCTTGTGTGCATTCTACGTCTGCCCAACACTACGTGCATCCCACTTTTTCTCAAGCTCCCACCTTCGGCCCCAACATCGTCACGGGCTGCATATCCCCACCCCCCACTCCCGATATCGGTGTACCTCTGTAGTGTCAGTCAAACCCTCCTATAGTGGAGACTCTTGGGATGTCCGTCCCAGCGCTCTGATGCTGAAACCGCGGGTGCTGCTACCCTTGTTGTTGTTATTGCTGCATGGAACCTCCACCGCTGTTTCGATGCCAAGCATCAGTGTGGGTTGCTGAAACATCTCTCGAAGTAAGGTAGAAACCTGTGACCGAGGGTTGGTTGTTTTCTGGGCTCTGCGTACTCACATGTAGGAATCGAACGTATTCCTTCTTCCGCAGGTCTACGGCCTACTGTGTCGATAAAGCGTGGTTGCCCTCTTCCGTCGGTCTTTGACCTACTGTCTCAATAATCATGTTGTTCGATCATGCCGCCCTTTTCCTTTCGACACGACTATCTCGCATTGTCCAACAGCAGCACACGTTGTTGTCTACCGCCTAACACGTTCCGCTACGACGTTTTCATAGGATTCCAAGCAGGAGACGTTTCGGATTGTTCCGCATGGCCTGTGGTCCAGTGCCCAGCCATCCATGACTCGCCACCATCCCAACGAGCATGAGCGCTTTTCGACGGCAGCTCAGGCGCACGCTCGGAACTGGAAGAACTTCTTGACCACCGGACGAAAGAGATGAAGAAAGAGTGGGATACGCTGGATTCCGGCTGGGAAGCCCTCGAGTCCAAAATAAGTCAGGCCGGAATGTCCATGGTGTCATCTATCCCGCCAAGCTTCGTGAGATTGAACGTTGGTGGGCTGGACGTCAACATTGCTCGGTCGGTGTTCAGGAAGACAGGTGAAGCATCGTCATCGAGTTGGACGCTAGGAGATCTGTTCGAAGGGTGTGTGTGGGACAAGCGTCTTCCGCGTTCTGAAGATGGCCGTATTGTGCTGGATGCGTCTGCCGTTTGCGTTGAGGAACTTCTCTGTGATGGTGCATCCTCGAAGAGGTCCGGAAACAACAACTTGCCCGTCGACGAGAAGCCGTATATTGGTGGTGTAGCCAGTGCTCTTGGGCTGTGTGTTGGTATGAAGGTCACTGGAGGAAGCACCATACTCCAACTCCATGAAGCCGAGCGGCTTACAGCAACTTTTTTGGGGTGGTGCCCCGGTAGGCCGGAGGGGCTGGAGCTGCTCTACCGTGCGTCCCGGGATGGCTGGTCTGGTGCAGCGTTCCATGCCCGGTGCGGGGATGACAGTCCCTTCACGACCTCCTTGTTTCGAATAAAGGTTGAAAGCAACGAAGACAGCTACAGCGTCGTCGGAGGATTCTCAAGCGTTCTATGGACCACACGTTCGACTGATGATCGTGGTGTGCACTCACCCGGATCGTTCTTGTTCATGCTCTAGAACGGCAACGAAAGATCACACACCGTTCAACCCGCCGAATGGGGTCCCAAGGAAGGCCGTACTGGTGTCGTATATTGCTATGCATCCCGTGGTCCGAGGTTAGGGCCTACGGATCCGCGCGTGGACTTGTTTGGGGTTTTGGGCAACAAGACGCTTGTAGTTAACAACGGCACATACGACATCCCGGCCGGACATCCATTTCTCGCCCTCAACAAGGCGATCGCAGACATCGAGGTGTTTGGAGTGGACCAAACCCCGCCGACCGTCACCGGTCTCATCGACTGTGCAGCGTATTTTGGAGCTAGTGCTATGTCGGCAGAGGAGCACGAGAACGATGTGTACAGGTTCGATGTTCCCATTGCCGAGTGGCTGAAAGACGAACGGGCAGCACTGCACACGTATCAGCGTGAGCTTGTCCTAGCGAATGCCATGGCGGCAGCTTCCGTCAAAGCCTTGAGAGCAGTCTACGGCCCGCACATTGCTGCCGGTGTCGAAGATCCCATCGTGGAACTCAGTGTTCGTGGGCCTAGAAAGACCGAGAGGATGACAACTCCGCTTTCAACTCTCCAAGCATGCCCTGACTCCGCCCTGGCCGCTAGATTCGACGAGACCAAATAGCCCGTCACCGACAAGGACAAAGACACGCACGGACGATGGCTGATCAAAGACTGCAGCCCTTCCGTACTCTCGAAGGTTCTTGATGTGTTGAGGATGAAGAAGCGTGCGGCCTGGGCTGGTGACGATAGCAAGATGGGGGCGGCGGTCCTCGTTGCCGTCAAGGCCGCTGATCGCGCGCCCTTCGAGGAGTTTGTAAACATGTACTTTCCGGGCTGCGAGAGCTTTATCATGGACAGCGTGAAGTTCTTGGATGGGCCAAACGCGTCCTGACCAGCGAACTACGGAACCGGCCGTTCAGGATGTGAGCTTTGTCCTACCGAGATTGTAGATATTCAGTTGTACCACGTACATGTAGCGGTAGTTTACATGCGTCATTTGCTCCTTTTGTTTGAAATCCATCACGTACGTGCAGATGTACCTCGTGCCTCCCTCACCCCCACTTGCCTACCCGCATGTGCACCTACTTCTCGTACGTTACCTGTTGCACTGTCGCTCACCTCTCCGACCGTGGTTCCCCCACCCGAACCTGCGGGCCACTCGTCTCCCTGTCGAACCAAACGCCTTAGGTACACACAGAGGGCTTACCTGACCGGAATACTGAAGAAACTTCACGTCCAAGCTGTGGAAATGTTAATGTTTTGCGGGGTAGACGTGTCTTGGGAATGTCTCTTCTATGATTTGGCGTGAGGTGCCATAGGATTGTTTGCGCGATCATCATAAATTTTGACTGAAAATATTATTCGTATGGGGTACTCTTTAGCAGGGCAAAGTGCACCAATACTCATTGTTGTGTTCTGTAAATGTGGCAGGGAATGGAAGGGGGGGAGGAAGGCTGCAAATAGGTGGAGGGGGATAGTGTGATAAATGTTTGGAAGATGATGGATGCGTTTCGCTGAACGCTCAACGAGAAAGGACGGCAGGTCCGCGCGTATAAAGGTTTAGCTCAATAGAGCGCAAACTCGGGATGCTTTCAACTATCTGTGGGTACAATATTCGCTACACCAACGCTAACGAGCCAAGGGTCAACCAGTTTCGTGTGCGTCCTTTTTCGGGGGTTCGACCTTCTACGTACATGTACTTCGAAGTTGTCGTAGATTCTTTTAGAAGACATCCCTTGTCAACCCTGTTCGAGTAGGACTGGCCTGGCCAGCGAAAAAAACAGAAAACGGAGGATAAATTCCCGGCTCCACTTAGGTGCGGCCTCGCCCCCAACGCCGCCGTCGCCCTCGTCGCTGAGGGACCCGTTGGGCCTGTTGCCGCCGGCTCTCGTCTTTTGCGGCGGTGACGACTGCTGCTGCTGCCTCGCTGTGTTCTATGATTGGCCAAGATGCGTATGGTTCCCTCCCAGCTGCAAGTGGACCCCGTAGCCACCCACAAAGCTCCCAATAGCGCCTACAGAATGATTTCCATTGTCACCCGCACCGCCACCGCTGCCACGAATACCACCACTTGTGCGTTTCCTCATGTGTGTTAGGGCCTGGATTAACACCCAGCATCCCATGAAGATCCGAAATGCATAACTTGGTATCCTCTCGTCCAATCGGGAGAGGAGGGGGAACGTGTGTGAGGTGCATGATATATTCTTCCAAGATCCAGCCACAAGAATCACAACACTCTGTGTGATGCGACGAAACCGTTGTTCTGCCAAGAGGCCATTTTTGTCGAGGACGGCATCTTCAGCTGGGCAAGAAGAACCGCTACCCGCAGGGGAGCGGGGCGGGCAACAAAGCTCGCTTCGTGCACCATATATTTGGGAGGCGCCCCCGGAAGCGTTACAGCCTTCAGTGCAGGTGAGCAAGGCGGGCAGGGCGCTGTAACTGCTGCACTACCTTATGTGCTCCATGTAGGTGCCGGTGGCCGAAGTTCCGGAAAGCCCATGAGGCGAGCTCGTCGTATCGGCATATTTCCCACTGCTCATTTGAGAAGCGAAAATGCTTGTGTTCAACTGTGTCCATCATAAAGCGTTGCTGATGCCGCCACGACTGCCGCTCCCGGGATTATTCCCGTAGTTATGCTGGGAGCGGGGTTCAAGGCGGCGTCCGTGACGCGGCTATAACGGACACAGAAGTTTTGATTTACAGATGACCCGAGGAAAAGATGACGATGCTGAGGAGCTCTCCATGGGTTTCAAGTTCAGCCGCCGGCACCTATATACATCAAGCACAGTAGATGAGCGGAGGGTTGGGGGTTGATTGAGTGTTGGCACAGATCGTATCAGAATCTGATTTCCTGGCGTAATTTCGTTTCGGTGTGGTCACGGATCGGGGCTCTTGAGATGGAGAGCTATAGGATCGTAGCGTAGACAAAGGTTACGCCGACCGTAATACTGTATTTTGAAGGACAGATCAGAAGGACGTGCGGCCGGACAAGCTGGAGGAAACCGCCGGCGGGGACAACGACCATTTGATGAAACACTCAGCGGAACAAATGTCGTTTTCTGGAATCACTCCGGGAATGGTCCTCCGCCGACGGCAGACCGCTACGGATCCAGGGGGTAGTCATCCACGTTGAAGAACCTACAGCAACGCTCGACGTCAAGTTCAAATCAGTCAGGCGAGAACGAGAACGATTTACGCATCGCGACCGACGGTGACGATAATTATCTGCCCCTACCGGTGACCTACCGTTCTACTATCGACCGCAAGAGGGGGAACACTACATGCGGTCAAGGTTATTGGCCCAATTATGCTTAACCTTGTACGGCTAATAGTAGAAGAGAATAGGACACCCATGGAGGCAGAGAAATCATCAGAAGCGGCGGTCGCGATGCGTAACATGTTTTTCGGTGTCGCCGCTTGTCGGGTGATGCATAGAACTCGACGACGAGTCTTGCCATAGGCTCATCCAAGCGAACGACTGGCCGTGAAATCCGTAGCGATCGGCCGTCAGCAGAGGCCCATCTCCGGAGTGATGCCGGGGAGTGACAGGAAAAGCGGCATATTAACCCAATATTGCGATCGCGACAAAGATTTTTTCGCCTCGCAGATGAGGAGAGGGGGAAATACTGATTCCGCGGAGCTCGGCTTGCACTTTGCTGCGCATCGGTCGCCGTTAATTAACTGTGCATGAAGCACATGAGACAAGCGGAAGGGTTGCCAAGCAAGTGTTGGCACTGGTCACCGTTGTTGAGAAGCACGATGATCACTAGACTACTAGTCAGCGCCGACTATGTAGTGGTCTTGACTAGGGGTCATCGTGCTTCTCAACAAACGTTAGTGCCCGTGTCCGGTCTGGCTTTGCAGCCACAAACACGTCCCCCAGGGTTGCCATCCCTGTGATCAGCGTTGTCTTGCCCGGAAATCGCTATCGGTACAAGAGATTCATCGGCATACTTTGCGAAGCCTATTTCCACAGACGTTTTCTTAGTGGGAAACATTATTGGGTTACAGATCATGGCCCTGGGCCATGGCCGGGCCATGACCCGCCCATGACTCGTTCATGGCCCGGGCATGACCCGGCCATGACCCGTTAACCAACCCATCAATGACTTGGTCATGGCCTGGCCATGACCGATTGATGTGCGGGTCATCGCCTGACCATGGCCGGGTCATGGCCGGGCCATGGCCGGGTCATGGGCTGGCACTGAGCGAGTCATGGGCGGGTCATGACCCAG